ACAAGTGTGACAAAGTTCAGTATTTTAAAATTAGTCACAAGTTATTCCAATTGAAAATTACTTAAGTACATTAAAAGTCGCTTCCAGCAACATTTCCTTTAAAAGTTAACTTATTTTTTAAAACAACTCTATGAATTTTAAATCAAAATAGCTATTGATTCCTTAGAGGAGTTGTTCAAGTAACTGACTTTATATTCAGATAACTTTAAAATTGATGAAGAAATTGTGATAAAAAAGACACTCTGCAATTATTTCCATTAGAAAGTGAAACTCTGCACTGAGAACTGACCCACCCGAAACAGGCTTAGCTGTGGAGCTACACACTTGGGTGGTCACTTTGTTGGAAATGTAGTTTGTGAAGATATGCAGTGCATTACTAATTAAGCACCTGCTATGCAAACTCTGGAGCCCTGGTGGTGCAGTGGTTAAGAGCCTGGATGCTAACCAATAAGCTGGCAGTTTGAATCCACCAGATGCACCTTGGAAATCATATGGTGCAGTTCTACTCTGTCCCATAGGGTCGCTATGAATTGGAATCAACTTGACTGCAATGGGTTTGGTTTTGGTTATGCAAACTCTAAGGAACCCTAATGGCATGGCACAGTGGTTAAAACATTCAAAGGCTTACTGAAAGGTCAGCAGTTGGAAACCACCAGCAACTCCATGGGAGAAAGATGTGACAGTCTGCTTCCACAGAGATTTACAGTCCTGGAAACCCCATGGGGTAGCTATGAGTCAGAATCAACTCAGTGGCAGTGGGTTTGGTTTTCTTGGTTTATGTAGACTCTAAGGATTCCTGGTGGCATAGTGGTTAAAGCACTGAGCTGCTAACCAAAAGGTTGGTGGTTCGAACCCACCAGTCACTCCATGGGAGAAAGATGTAGCAGTCTGCTTTCATAAAGATTTACAGTCTTTTCTAGATGGAAGGACAAGAGGTGCAAAGCCAGCTTGACTTTAAAGGTATTCCACTGACCATTATCTAGGTGACTGAGGTGGGAAAGTTGTTTCTGTATCGTGGACAAGCTTTCCCTGGCTGACAAGCCACAGACAGCAATAAAGCCACCAGACTTGGGGTTGGGACTATGCAGATAAAAGTAATTGAGATTTCCTGTGCTCTAATGCAAAGAGGGAGTCCCTAGGTGGTGCAGTTAATGTGCTTGGTGGCTAACCAAAAGGTTGCGAGTTCGACTCCACCCAGAAGCACATCAAAAGAAAGGCCTGGCGATCTACTTCTTGAAAAATTAGCCATTGAAAACTCTATGGAGCACAGTTCTACTATGACACACATGGGGTCTCCATGAGACAGAATGCGCTCAACCGCAACTGGCAAATGCAAAGAAAACGTTTCAGCACCTGAGACAGCTCCACTTCAGCAGCTGTGCTTCTCAACTGCTTAAGTAGTTTTAAATGAAAACGCGTCTGTTGTATATGAAGTGCATCAGTAACGGCAAGATACATACAATAAGCAATGAGGTCCTAATTAATTGTATATCTTCAGCTTTAAATTTGGATAGCAAAATGATTACTCAAGATTCTTCAATCTTAACAAGGGTAGGCATCTGAAAAGGAGTTTTATATCTAAAGTTTCTTCAAATAATAAGTACCTAATATCTTAAGGGAGCCCTGATGGCACAGTGATTAAGTGCTTGGCCACTAACTGAAAGGTCAGTTTGAACCACAGCTTCGAACCAGTTTGTTCCAGTTAGAACCCCTGCTGAGAATGTGCACTCTAACAAGCTCCCTGCTGAGAATTTGCATTTCCATCCCAGATACACTGAATCAGAATTTACATTTTAACAAGATCCCCCAGGTGATTCTTATGTATAACCTGCAAACTTGTTAGAAGTGCAAATTCTCAGCAGGAGTTTGAACCCACCAGCCACTCTGCAGAATAGAGATGTGTCAGCCTGCTTCCATAAAGATTTACAGCCTTGGAAACCCTATGGGGCTGTTTGTTCTACTCAGTCCTATAAGGTCACTATAAGTCAGAATCAACTCGATAGCAATGGTTTAATATCTTAAGAAAACTGGAGTCTTTCTTTCTGGATGAAAACTAGCTTATTTAAATCTATATTTTAGTAAATGTTTCGCTATAACTTTTCCAATTTTGAATGACTTTTTTGAGAAACGCACAAAGAACTTATCAAGAAATTGATCCTACAATTGGCCTTGTGTCATTGATTTAATCACACATTTTTAACTTAAAGGCAACATGTGCTATGCATTTTTGCAGGTGTGTATTTATTATGCCCAAGTTATGGCCAGATATACATGTACAGATAAGAAAATACAGGAGTCCTTGGGTGGTGCAAATGGTTAAGCACTCAATACAAGCTGAAAGGTTGGCTGTTCAAACCCAACTAGAGACACCTTGGAAGACAGGCCTGGCAATCTGCTTCTGAGAGATCACAGCCTTGAAACCCATACAGAACTGTTCTACTCTGCACACATGGGGTTGCAATGAGTCGAAATCGGCACAATGGCAACCAACAACAGCAAGGAAATATATATGCTTACATATCAAAACCAAAACAAAACCCACTAACACTGAGTTGAATCCAAATCATAGCAGCCCTATAGGACAGACCAGAACTGTCCCATAGGGCTTCCAAGGCTGTAAATTGTTATGGGAGCAGACTGCCACATCTTCCTCCTGTGGAGCAGCTGATGGGTTCGAACCACCAATCTTTTGGTTAGCAGCTGAGCTCTTTTAACCACTATGCCACCAGGGTTCCTTTTGTTTATATAAAGATACTATAAACACAAACATACACACACACACACACACACATACTCCTGTATATAGTGAAACCTGTGAGAGCTGGACTCAACAGGACTGCCTCGTGTTTCCCGGTCTGGCAAGTTTTCCGCCTTTGAGAGGGTGCAGTCTTACTTCTCTACCACTCTCTATTAGGTTTCTGCCTTACATAAATGCCAGCTTTTGCAGGTCTTACTGTATACATATGCCTGTATTTTTTGAAGAAAAATAAATTGATGTGAATCTAGACTTAATGAATCTAAGTACGAAAAGATGTTCAGAGTCAGTAGAAATCATTTGCAGTTAAATCCCCAATTTGCTACTCAGGTCTACACTTCTGCTTATCTGAGAAACAGCTCTAGGCATTTGTCAAACTGAAAAGAAAGAAATGTATACTCCAAGCTAAGAAAAAAAAAATGATGTGAAGAGATCACTGGAAACAAAATTTAAAAATTATTGTCTTTCCTTTCTCCTAGCGACACCTAGAGCCGGTTGAGGAGAAACTGCATATGTTTTCACTCCAAGCATCACCCACTCTGGGCTGTGGAGATACAATTCGACAGTGTTTAGTCGTATTTAAAGCAAAAGCGCATCTTTTCTGTCTGCATCGCAGCTCAACTGTCTTCCCCAGCACTCTCAGCACCATTATTTCTCCAGAATTCTTGACCACCACCCATGACTTCTAGTTCCTTGAACCAGATGACTAAAGAATTCATCCATTTACCTCAGTACTTGGCCCACCAAAGCAGGGGACACCTCTCTGTCTTACCGGTGGAATTGGGAAATGATCTAAAAGAACATAAGAAAATCTCATGCAAGGTCTCATGCAGGATTGTGTGTGCCCAAACCACATCACCAAAAAACTTCTGTCACCTTTATCTAAGCCTTCATATCAGTCGCTCATAAAACAAAACAAACACCACCAGTAACAACAAAAAAAACTTTACTGATTTTTGCAAGATCTGGCCATTAAAAACTGTCCCTGTAGACACACTCAGCCCCCTACCCCCAAACACACACCCCTTTTGCACTATAAAAGAAATACACAAATAGTGAAGCAGCGTGACCCAAGGCAGAAACGTTTTACTGACAGCAACCCCCTGTCAGTGCAGGGGAAATTTACTGTCCTAGGTATGTCAGGGTAGAAGTGTGTCTGAGAGTCTGTGTGAGGACTGACTGTGCAGCAGGACTCTTGTTTAAAGGGTGCTTCCAAGTGAGAAACTCGGCGATGACACCCTGCGTGTCTCTGAGGGCTGTGCTAACCAAGTCAGACCGGTCTGTCTGAGAGCTTGTCTGGGATTCTTCTCTTTTCCCTCAGAAGACAAGGTCTCAAAGAAAAAATGATAGTTTCCTCTCTTCCTGGTCTCCCCCGTCCCTCTATATCCCTGGAAGAGATCAATACAAGGTGGTTTAACTCTTCCATCCATCAGACCCGCCTTCCGCCGCTGCCCTGCGAGAGTCATTGGTTACTAAGGCGATATGCAAATCCAACCTTTGAAACCAAGGCTTCCAGCCCCGAGAAGAGTAGGAAACGTGCTTGAGGAGTTTTCACTTAATACAGTCCAAGGCAGAGTTGCTAGTCCACAGTGCCATCAACAAAAATTGTGCGAGACCTGGGACGGGGGTTGGAGCTCGATGCTATTACTTTTCTTCCCTCCCCCCGCCCCGCGAAAGATAATAACAACTACCACTACTACCACCACCAAAAAGTGTCCATGAGAAGTGAGAAGACGAAGCAGAGTCATTGAGTTAAGAGAAGGGGGTGGGGGTGGAAAGGGGCACAATGTGAATAGAGTCCAGTGACAGGTAGAAGGGGAACAAAAGGATTTGGGACTTAATCTTCCCCGAGTCTCAATGGGAGGAGGGTGTTGGCTTATAAGCACAGACAGATCTAATTCTCTCCTGTGGATCCACAGCAGCATGCATTCAAAAACAGACATCCGCACATCCATGTGACACCCCCCAGCGAATTCCAGAGCCCAGCAGGCGCAGCACAGCAAACCCTCCCCTCTCAAGAACTCCCGGCCCGCCACCGCTGCGGAGACCCGCTCACAGGACCGCGGTGACCGAGATTTGGCGCTTAGGGGAGTATTTGTGGGCGCTCCCGGGAGCAGTGGGGGAGGGTGGAGGAGGGGGACGGAGAGAGGAAGGAGAGCAGAAACCTTCAAGGAGATCCTGCCCACGGGTGCGTCTCGCCCAAGAGCTGCAGCCCAAGCCCCCCACCCCCACGCCCTGCGCTTACATCCTCGTCCTCGCAGTCGTTCCGCGCCTGATACTGGAACCGGGGCCGGCCCCCAGTGCCGCCGCCGCCGTGCTCCTGGGGCGCCGCAGGCACCTGGGGTCGCAGGGTCCTGGCGCCCGCACCGCCACCGTCCTCCTCGGCCCCCTGGCCGCCCAGGAGGCGACTCGCCTCGGGGGGCGCCGGGAAGGACCGGGAGGTGTTGATCTTGCCGGTGAATCTCTGGTACAGCGAAGCCATCGGTCGCCGCGCTCCCGCTCGGTCTTGGAGCTTTTTTGTTTTTTAAATTTGCTTTCTACCTCTTGGGCTCCCGTTCCCCTACGCCTCTCCCGAAAAGGGGGGTGGGGGGGGAGGACGAAGAAGGAGGAAAAGCCAGGCGAGCCGCGGGGCCGCGCGCCCGCTCCGGAGCAGCCGGGCGCTCTCTGCCGCGCCGGCTCCTGCACGCCCCCTCCCCCGGCGCCTCCGCCAGGGTCTGGACGCGCCGCCCGCCCCGCGCGCTCTCTCGTTCTGCTGCTGCTGCTTTTTTTTTAAAACTCCTAGCTACACACGGCCTAATCAAAGAGAATTAAGAGAGGAAGGAAAAAGAAAAAAAGGATAATAATAACCGTGAAGGGAGGGATCTTGCCAAGGCCCCAGAGATAGGGCACCACCCAGGGACCGGCACGAGTCCCGTGGCTCTCACCGCCACTGGGGCCTTTCCCCTCGCAGCTTCCCAACCCGGCCCCTCAGCGCGGCGCGACAATGGCGCTTGGTGGTCGGGGATTGCAGCGGGAGAGCGGCGGGCTCGGGGCGCGTGAGGCCGGGTTGGGGAGGCGCGGGGCGCTCAGGGGTGCTAGGCCACCGCGGGGCCCGAGGGAGAATCGGCGAAAGGGCGGGCGAGGGGACTTCTGGGGAGAGGAGCGGGGAGGCGGCCGAGCCCGCGGGCGCCCCTTCAGCCCCGGCGCGGCGCTCGGCCAGTCCACGCGCGTCCACTCCCAGCCGCCTTGCGCTGTAGCCCTCCTTGGGGCTCCCCCTTGTGTTTTTCTTGTAGCTTTTCTTCCCGAACTTGAAACAGCATCAAAGACACCTGAGTGCTGGGGTACCGCCGGGGTGAGGTCGAGGGAAAAGGAGGCAAGGGAGGGAGGAAGCGCGGTGTGGAAGGGAGGGAGCTCAGGCTGAGGAGCTTTCCTGCCTTTCAAAGCCAAGTTCTGTTTAGGAAAATGAATCCATTTTCCTTCACCTCCTTCCAAACGGAAAGAAGGTTATTGAAGGCAAGCGAGAAAAGGCCTAGTGGAAACGTTCAGAGCAACTGTTTTCAACGCCTACTCTCCCCCCTCACCCCACCCCAACCCATTTGTGTGCATCAGGCCACCAAGAGTGGTGTTGAAGAACCTGGGCTGCCAGCAACTTTTCCAAAGCTTGCTCCGCCTCTCCCATCCCCACCCTTTACTTAGGGGAAGTGAGGGGAGAAATGACACCAAATGGTGTGCACCTTTCAAGGGTTCCTAGTCTTTGTGCTGCATTAAAACGTACTTCAGCGCCCCTGTGTGGAAATACACGAAAACTGTGCTTTACTGCACTCCAACTACAGACCACAGGGCTGTTTTGTTTTTCCTTTTTCTTCAGCAGATTTCCTCCCTCCTCTTTTTAGTCTTCGCTATACTCTTGATCTTCCCTCTGGAATTCTTCTCCTAACCCTTCCTGAGGACCTGGGCGCTTTTCCTTCTGGTCTTCTCCTCACAGCCTCATTGCCTGGCCCTTTCCCTCCTCTCGTTTGCAGCCCTTGCTGGCTGGGACTGATGTGTCCTGGTCCGGAGCGCAATCCCTGGACTAGGAACCTGTAAGTCAGAAGAGAGGGGTCCTGGTGGAGATGCTGGGACAGTCCCAGACACATGCTATACCACACGGATACCAGCTGCTGTCCAGTCCATTGGACTGGTGTGTCAGAGTATAACTGTGCTTCATATGGTTTTCAATGGCTTATTTTTCAGAAGTACATCGCCAGGCCTTGTCTTCCGAGTTACCTCTGGATGGACTCAAAGCTCCAATCTTTGGGCTCCAGACACGTGCTACGCCTTTCCAAATAAATTCAAGGTGCAGATTTCTTTACCAGCTATTCTTCTAGTACTAAGTGGTGCTTTCTGCTCCTCCTACATTTGCACGACTATTTAGGTTTTCAATGCCAATAGGTAAGGTGGTTACTCCTCAGGCTGTACTGCAATCCTGGCTCGCCAGTCTGTTGGGTATGAGTCAAAGGCAATCTCCTGGCACCACTACCCAAAGCCCACAAATACCAGAGACAGACCTGCAGTGTCCTGAAGTTTGCCTCCTCCCGTCTATCTCCATAAAGTGGAGGAGGGAAACTGGGTGCTGCTGAATGAGAATCCCCTGAGACCACCTTTCAATGTGTTTCACCCTCTTCCATTCCTAAGTTCTCAGTCCGGTTGGTGGTTTTCAGTTTTAATAAAAAAAATTATACCATCCCTGGTTTAATCCACTGTGGTTTCCCTCTACTAACAAGAAAAGTGTAATCGTTAAAGTAGTTTTAAAAGTTTTCCTTTACAGAAAATGTAAAAACAAGTAAAACAATTATTCTAATAACCAGCAGACTCACCGCATTGCGTAAGAGCTACGAGACCATAGGTCTGAGGGTAGGGGCCCTTCACCTGTCCCACCGTACTTTGCAGAAGGAAGTGACCATGATAAGGGTCACCAAACTCAATGTTAAAAGCCATCACAATTAGCTAAATAGAAAGCTTGGCTCTCATCACCCCCAGCTGTGCTTTTGATAGGAGGAAATGGCATTTTCTACACAGACTTGAAAGAAATTTGCATGCTGTTCTCCGCAGCATCTAGAGCCTGACATTTCACTAAATATAGATGCTGTTAGGGTCTTGCTTATGTTATATATACCTATGCATATGTATATATATATATATATATACACACACACACATATATATGGAATATACAATATGCATATATATTTTTACACAAACTGTAAGACTAAGAAGCATATATATAGTCCTAATATATTTTATACAAAATATAGAACCTACATAGAATAGTTTATATATCATCTATAATTTATAGTTGTGTTACAACAAGAATAGATTGAAAGTGGAATAAAGAAGACACATATGTCCCTCAATTTAAAAAATTATTTTCTCAGGTGAGCTTGTGGTCCTCTCTCCGTTAAAATAGTGATTTGGTCAAAATTAAAAATTCTAATTATTAAAATAATCAGATGACCAAATTGACTTAAAAATACTTATAAAACTCAGAAACAATTGAGGGAAGAGTTGAAGTAAAAATCTAAATCGAGAGAAACACATTTGGAAATGAGCCAGGAGAAAGGGAGTGGCAGGACCATGGGTGAGAAAGTCAGAGTGCTCAGAGAGCCAAATGTGAAGCGAAAGGAAACACTGGGATGTGCTGAGGAGCAGCAGCAAGAGAAAGAAAAATATGAACACAGAGATGTTTCTCAGGGCGCAGTCTAGATTGAGGCGCCATGACTTCAGGTGCAGAAGAATATGCCTGCTTTCTTTTACCCTTGCACATTAGCACAGTTCTCAGGAATATCTGAAGAATGTTTTAGACTTTGTGTGCAAGTGTGCACATGCATGTCTATCCAACTTTGTCTTACACATGGATACGCAAATTGCAGTACAGTATGTCTTTAGAGGCTGTGAGGACTCAGAAGTCACATAGAGTAAACTGGTTAATATTGTAGGATGTGTGAAGTAATGCCATTTTAGAGAATTGCTAGCTATGGCACTTCATATTTCTGTTACATAGCTACTTCATATTTTGACTTTGATAAACTTTTTAGGCACCCCAAAAAAGAAATAAGGAGAAGGAGTAGTCTAACTATCCAATGGACATTTAAATATAGGTGTAGCATTTCACCAGACATGTCAATAACCCCCTCCACCCCACCTGTCATTGAAATCTTGAATATGCTATATTGAAGTCGATTTTCCCTCCTTCTTATTAGGTGTGGGAAATTATTTTTTAAAACATTTAGTGGACTGTTTCATAGTTAGATTTTCATTCCTCAATATTGCTTAAAACCAAATGCCAGCCAACTCATTTTTCTATCTAGTTTTTTATGATTCTTTCTTCCCAATTTTAAAAATTAAAAAAAATGAAGGTATGAGTATGTATTTATTTTCCCTGGAACCAATTTACAAAATCCCATGTGATTAGGTCATTGGAATTGGGCAGGTGTTGCAAAATATGATGGGTAGTCATTTTTTAAATGACAATAAAAGGAACTTTTTGGTCTATATGCAAGCTAAGCATTGTGGGAATACCAAAAGCTATACTGCGTTCCTCAGCATAAGCATGATTTTTATTAGCTAGGAACTTTTCTTATATATAGGAGAGAATTCTATCTACAGTGTAGTTCCCTTTTTTTTTGAGAAGTAAGGGAGGGGGGCAGAACCATATTTATGATTTTTATTATTTTCTAGACACTAATATTTGGGGAAACGAAGTGACCTACTTAGCATTCTCTGAAGGAAGGACATCGCTAAAGCTTTTAGTGATATCTTTTATCTATTTTCACTTTGTACACAATTGGCAAAATAAAGCAAACAGTTGGGTAGTTTCACAAAATACTTTGCAAATTAATACATAAAAAGCATAATCTCAACTCAAAAAATCAATCTCTCTTGTCTCTCTCTCAGACTGTTTTTGTTAGGTGTCATGGAGGTTTTGACTCATAGCAATGCGACGTGACACATTAGAACTGCCCCATGGGGTTTCCTAGGCTGGAATCATTGTGGAAGCAGAGTTCCTGTTGCACAATATCCTCACCAGCATTTGGTGTTGTCAGCGTTTTGGATTTTAGCCATTCTAATAGGTGTGCAGTGGTATCGCATTGTTGTTTTGATTTGCAGTTCCCTAACTTAGCTGCTAACTGAAAGGTTGGCGCTTTGAGTCCACCCAGAGGTGCCTCAGACAAAAGGCCTGGTGATCTACTTTGGAAAAATTAACCAACCATTGAAAACCCTATGGAGCACAGTTCTATTCTGACACATATGCTGTCTGTGTATCTTCTTGGTGAGGTGTCTGTTCAGATCTTTTGCCCATTTTGTAATTGGGTTGATTATTTTCTTACTGTGGAGTTTTAAGGGTCCTTTGTCTATTTAGCATACAAGTCCTTTATCAGATATGAATTTTGCAAACAATTTTTTCGGTTGCTTGTCTTTTTCATTCTTTTAAGAATATCTTCCACAGAGCATAAGTTTTTAATTTTAATGAAGTACACTTTATCAATTTTCTCTTTTATGCATTGTGCTTTTGGTGTTGTA